CAGAATTCTTGTTCTTACCAAACTGTCCAGCTACATTGTGTGTCAACAGGTGATTATGATTTAAGAAACAGCACAATATTGAATCATGTGCTTATGTCACCTTCACAAATGTGTAAAAGAATTGAGTGTCCTCTTTGTGCAGTGTAAATATTTACCTGCAAGTAACATAAGCCTATTTATTTTCATATGCTAAGTTCTGTGTTTGAGAATAAATATAATACACTAAAGCAAGGAATTACTTTATTTGAAAGAAAGATTTGGGGATTTTTAAAATTTTTTTAGACTTCAAGGTTTTTAAATTTGTGAAATGAACAGAAAAGGTACCTCATAGCCCCTCCTTTGGCTCATTTCACTTGTAGTAGTCAGTCAGTTATGAAGACAAGTGAAATCATGTTCACTCTGAGCCAAAGTCTGTGTATATGACCACTTGATCATTTGTGACACTGACCAAAATAAGAAAGCAACAAAAATTAAGTTTTTAAAATCCAGCAGCCACTAAATAATCATCTAACACTTGTGCTTTTTAAATCTATTGTTAACTTCAAATGAGGCAAAAATCCATTTTCTTCCTTCCTTCCCTTCTTCCTTCCTCCCGTATGCCTGTAATAAAAGGCATAGTGATCCTGAGAGGAAACCACATTTAGCTTTGCCTTCAGAGTGCTTAAGTGTGATAAAAGTGTGCAGTGAGAATTCACAAAATTATCTAAATCTCATGAAAGCTATTAAGGATTCTACAACATCAGTTAATCCTTGCTGATCATCTGTTTTCATAAGGAAAAAAAAAACAACCAAAACAAAATGTGATTTGAATGGCTTTAAAACCCACATGTTTGAGAAAAAATTAGGGAAATAGGAAATTATTTATAGCATCATAACAAATAAGTTTTAAGAAGAACTAAACTATGAGCCATATCTAGGTTACTGAATAGCAACTGGTTTAGTCAAAAAGAAATTATTTTTTATATAACTACACTATGTTACCAAAAGAAAGAAAGCAAAGGAGAAAATTGGTCGATTCTAACATCAGAATAAAGCCTATAACTTATTTTCTAGAAAGTAATTTTTCTTTCTTCTTGACACAAGAAGGAGAGCCACCTAGGGACCAAGTGTTTATTTCCTGACTCTGTAGACAGTTTAAATAGAGTGGAATTCAGATCAAATGAAAATGGCTATGAAACAAATGACCATCCATGTGGTAACTGGGGCCAAGAAATGGATTTTTCATTGAGTCTCACAAAACTTGATTATTACATTTGGTTGTCATAAGGTGTTGCAAGGATCCCTGGGAGGCTCCCAAGTTTCTCTTCACCTATGTACTGCGTTCACTCGCATGTGCGTGCGTGCGTGCGTGTTTCCACGTAACTGACTAGGAAGCCTTATTAGATCAGATTGGGCTGGCAATCAATGAAAATGAAAACAGAGATTTTCAAAATTCTTAGAAAAAAAACGGAAATAATCATTTATGATTATATTTCCTTTTACCTCTGAATAACGCTAGTAGTAGTTAATAATTAATCAGTAATCCTGTATTTTTTTTCTAGACGTATCTAAAAGAGTCCTCAAGGATATAACAAATTCATAAATTGAGAGCTCCATTAGCATAAATGGGAGAGCATATTAGAACTTCACTATGGACTGCTTTGCATATGATGCATAAATATTTGGAAAAAATAACTTTTCTGAATGGTGACCTCAATGTAAAATAATTTTCTCTCTTCCTCAACTATTTCAACACACAAAATCAGAGTGTTCCCTTCAGAAATGCAGCGTGAGTGCAGTAACTTCTTAACATAAGTTGCTTCTGAGAGGTCTTTTGTAACCAACCTGTGATACAAACAAAGCCAACCGTAGTAAATGCTAGCGCTGTTCGTACAATACTATTTAATATGTGTTTTTGTTAGAGTGACTTCTGAGTCAACCTGGGGAATAATTGCCAGCTATCATTGCTATCACATTTTACGTTTTAAACGTGGTCTTGTTGCTTTAGTAGAATGACAGGTAAAACATCTGGAAAAGTGAAATGTGCTGTCAGTGGTTCCAGAGGGAGAGTATAACAGAAATACCAGAGCAGATCTGTAAGCCATACAAATATATATTTTTAAATAAACAGACTTATTCGTAAATAGGCTGTGACTAGATGCTTAAGCTTCTTTGAAACTTCATTCTACACACACACACACACACACACACACACACCATTTTGCTCAGGAAACATTTTATTATATGTTAATTGTTCTTATTACAATGACTAAAATTCAACAGAGTTTTTAAGACTTGTGAAAAAATGTCCTTGAAAATTTACTCTCAGAATTCATGCCTTGAAAAGGCCCCTTCTCTCACAGAGCCTTGTGTTCATATGTGCACATTTTCTTCTCTTTTTTTCCCCCGGTGCCGAGGACTGAACCCAGGCCCCCAAGCATGTCAGGCAAGCGCTGTACCACTGAGCT